CCTCAGGCTCAGCACCCCTAGCAGGACGAGAGTCGACAGCTACCTCGACAGGCTCAACCGGGTCTACCTGGGACACACCTGAGGGAGCGGCACCCTGAGGGGGGAGGGGGTCTACCACAGCAGCACCTGGCGCGAGGAAGAGAGGCGGGGGGGGAAGCGGGGCAGTGCGGTAGGGGAAGAGGCGGTAGTAGGGCACCGACTCGTCGAAAGTGACGTCCTGAGAAGGCAGGACACGGCGCGAGGTGGGGTGGTAAAACTGCCAACCAGACGCGTCCGGGACAAAGCCAAGGAAGACACAAGGAACAGCGCGGGAGGAGAGCTTGTCCGCGGACGTATCGCGAACAAAGGCTCGAGATCCCCAGACCCGAAAGCGTGACGCATCGCCAACCTCTCCTGTCCAACGCAGTGTCGGCGAAGTCTCCGGAACGGAGACACGGGGCCAGAGGTTGAGCTGATGCGCAGCGTATCGGACTGCAAACGGCCACAGAAAGTGGGGGGCAGCCGCATGGATCAAGGAGGTACGAGCGACCTCCATGACCAAGCCAATGCGGCGCTCAGCAACCCCATTCTGCTGTGGAGAGGCCGGAAGCGTGAACGACTGGCGGATGCCGTGCTCCGCACAGTAGCCTGCCAAGAGGTCGGAGGAGAACTCACCACCTCTGTCAGAGTGCAAGCGCAGGACAAGAAAGTCCGAGTGGAAACGCTCGCTGAGCTGGAGACGAGAAGCGCTGATCCAAGGGATCAAAACATCAGGGACCTCACCCTTGGTGCGCAAGGGGAAGACCGTGGTGTAGCGCGAGTAGTCGTCAACAACTATCAGGAAGTACCTCTCCTGACCCTGACCACGGACGCGGGCTGGGCCCCACACGTCCATGTGGAGCGTCTGCAAGGGAGAAGTCGTCGGGGGAAACGAGGAGGAGTGAGGAGCGGCGCGCTGCCGCCCCTCGACACAGGGAAGACAGGGAGGAGCAGGCGAGGGTGGGAGGGGAGGGAGAACCCTGGGAAGACCAGAGACAAGGTACCGTTTGTGCATGGCACGAAGGCGCTGCACGGACGGGTGACCAAGTCGGTGGTGCCAGAGGACGGTCTCGTGCGCCAGAGAGCGACACGAGCAGGGGGCCGACAGCTGACCTGACGCAGACGCAGACGCAGCTACCTGAGGGGACTCAGTGGTCAGTGTGTACAGGTCCGACCCCGGCTGCCGAGTGAAGGTAGCCAGGTGACGGCCCGTCCGAGCACACGTGCAGTGTGTCACGCGCTCGTAGGCAGGGGTGAACTGGTGAACACCCCCGTCCTGGAGCGCACAACCCGCCACCAAGTTCGTAGAGAACGAGGGGAGGTGGAGACCTGACAGTGTGCCCGACGGGACCGCAGGACAAGGAAGGACAGTGGAGGAGGTCGCAATGACCGGACCCCCAGAGGGGTCAGCGAGGGAGACAGCAACTGGCCGAGCAAGCGGCTCAAGGGCAGTGCGGTCACGAAAGAAACAGCGAGAAGCACCTGAGTCCAGAGTGAAGGTGTGCAGTGCCTCAGTCGACTCAGTACCAGGGGGCGCAGACTCACGAGCACCTAGAGCAGCAGCCTCACCAGCACCTGGGGTAGCAGACACGCGAGTACCGGGAGTGGTAGCCTCACCAGCACCTAGGGCAACAGACGCACTAGCACCTAGAGCGGCAGCCTCACTCACAGGACACGGCAGCTGCACCTGTCCACTACCAGAAGCTCCCGAACGACGCACTCCAGAGTGACTACCACTACGGCCACCCCGACAGCCCCAACTGGCGTACCACTCACGAAGCTGCTGGGGCGAAAGAGGACACGGCAGCTGCACCTGTCCACTATCAGAAGCTCCCGACCGACCCACTCCAGAGCGACTACCACTACGGCCACCCCGACAGCCCCAGCTAGCGTACCACTCACGAAGCTGCTGGGGCGTGAGGGACTCACGCGCACGGCCCTGGAGCTGCATCTGGCCACGCCAGAAGCAGCAGTAGCAGCAGTAGCGGCAGTAACAGCAGTAACAGCAGGAGCAGTAGCAGCAGTAACAGCAGGAGCAGTAGCAGTGGGAGTAGAAAAGGCAGTAGCAGATGTAGCAGCGGTAGCAGTGCTGGCAGGGCAATGCTCACCAGTGGTCGGCGCGGCAGGCGCAAGACGGTGGCGACAGCGGGGCCGCTACAACTGCAGGGCGGGGCCGGGCCGCAGCAGGGAGCTCCGCGGCAGCTGCTGCAGGGCGAGGCCGGGCCGCGACGGCAGCTGCTCCAGGTGCCAGGGGCGGCTGCTGCAGTGGCGGCTGCTCCAGGGGTCAGGGGCGGCTGCTGCAGCGGTGGTTGCTCCAGGGGCCAGGGGCGGCTGCTGCAGGGGCGGCTGCTCCAGGGGCGAGGGGCGGCTCCTGCAGTGGCGGCTGCTCCAGTGGCCAGGGGCGGCTGCTCCAGAGGCCAGGCGCGGATTAGGTCAGGGCGACGCGGCGAGCAGGGCGACGCGGCGGGTAGGTGGCGACGCCGCGAGCCGGGCGACGTGGCGGGCAGGTGACGACGCCGCGGGCAGGGCGACGCGGCGAGCAGGGCGACGCCGCGAGCAGGTGGCGACGCCGCGGGCAGGGCGACGCGGCGAGCAGGTGACGACGCCGCGGGCAGGCGACGACGCCGCGGGCAGACGACGACGCCGCGGGCAGGCGACGACGTCGCGGGCAGGGGCTACGTCGCGGGTAGGCGACGACGCCGCAGGCAGGCGACGACGCCGCGGGCAGGCGACGACGCCGCGGGCAGGCGACGACGCCGCGGGCAGGGGCTACGTCGCGGGCAGGTGACGACGCCGCGGGCAGGCGGCGACGCCGCGGGCAGGGCGACGCGGCGGGCGGCGAGAGCCTGCAGGGGCGGCGCGCGGTCGGGCAGAGGCTGCGCGCGGGCGGCAGAGGCGGCTCGGGGGGGGCCTGACGGGTCTGCAGAGGCGGCTCGGGGGCCTGACGGACCTGCAGGGGCGGCTCGAGGGCGCACGAGGGCGCTCGAGGGCGCACGAGGGCGCACGAGGGCGCACGAGGGCGCACGAGGGCGCACGAGGGCGCACGAGGGCGCACGAGGGCGCACGAAGGCGCACGAGGGCGCACGAGGGCGCACGAAGGCGCACGAAGGCGCACTAGCAGAGAAAGTCGCACGAGGGCGCACGTAAGGTAGGACGCACGAGGGCGCTTCTAGCGGAATAGTGGGCCCATAGTAGAAAGCGGTCCTAGGTAGCAACCTAGGCTCGTGATACCATGTTAGAATCTAGAATAGAACGAGAATGGATGAAACTAGGTAGGAGGGGGATACAAGTAGGAAACCCTAACAAAGCTGTACCCCCTAAGGCTAAACCCACTATAGCCTACACAATATAAACATATAATGTTTGACATGCATTGCCCACTAGGCCGAGCCTCAACATAGTCGAGTCGAAAGAGCAGTCGACGTCGAGTCGATAGGGCACTTGATTGAGTCGGCCAATCGAGTCAAAACTCTACTCGCTGCTCGTATCTCCCCTAGCGTGAGGTTGACCTGGCCTGTGGCGGACCGACCTAGGCTGTTGTAAGCGACCCAGCCTATGACTAACCCTGCATGTGTCTGTCCTAGCTGTAAATGGCCCTCCCGTAGCTTTCGTAGCCTATGACTGACCCTTACTTGTGTCGGGCCTATATTGTGCTTGACCTAGCCTGTGAGTGTTTTAGCCTGTGAGTAGCCTAGCCTCTGGTTGCCTGATCTAACTTGTGTGTGTGACCTAGTTTGCGAGTGACCAAGCCTCTGTTTGACCTACCTTCCAATGGACCTAGCTGGTGACTGACCTAGATGTTGTTGCCCCCTCTCCCCCCCCCCCCTCCCCCCCTCACACACTGACCTATTCTGTGAGTGAATAGTTTTGTGGCTTATGCAGCCTGTTGCCAACCTATCCTCTGACTGACATAGCTTTTGCTCACCTATCTTGTGTGGCAGCTATGCCTAAATTGACCTACCTTGTAAGAAAATGAGCCCGACGACCTAGCCCCCGACGACCTAGCTTGTGATGGACCTAGTCTATGAGTGATAAATTCTGTAGGGGAATGCTTGAATTCGATATCAAAGTAATATCAAGAAACGGATGGTTACGGCTTGGCATTCTTGTTCAGATATGGCCAGGAGAACATAAATGTACTTGATTTGATGGTAATATAGCTAGGCCAAGTGCGTGAAATAGGGTAAAAATGGCGATTGTTTGATTCTAGAAAAAACGAGTGCAGCACATTTGTGTGGGTAGGAGACGCTGGGTTAGGTGAATGCCGTATGGTGTGGTTGAGGGTGATATCTGGGTAAAGCTGGCAATCCAGATGTAATGTTCTTATTTTGCGACATCTCCTTGAAAAGCGCTATTTCGTGCGAGTGTTTTTTCGTCGGCCTCGAACCTTATTTTTCCGCGTAGTGCGTATTTCTGAGCATATAGTGTATTGCATTAATTTACCAATGCTTTACACAGTATGCTCAGCTCCCTAAGTGTATCTTCCTGCTCAGATGTGAGCTAGCTAGCTTGAAGCTATGAGACGAGCGACCTACCATAGGACTAGCTAGCCAGTGACTAATAGGCCTGCATGGACGTGACCTAATTTGTGACTGCCCCGTGCCTTGTGGTGAACCTGCCTTCTACATAAGCTATCTTGTGGTCAAGTCAAGCTAATCCTGTGTTAAGTCTATCCTCTGGTTAGCCTCTTCTGTGATAAACGGACTCTATCAGTAATCTCTCCTGTGATAAACGTCCTCTATGGTTAACCTTTTATATGGTGAACATAGCCGCTGTTGTGTAACCAGAGACTGTGTCATCTTTCCTCTTTGCCTTTGGACATCGATCTTTCCAATTGTCTCTGCTTCTACTGGCCTCTCTTCACTCCACCTTAATGTAGCCCACTGTTTCACTCCTGTCCACTTTTCAGAGGGAATCTTCTCTGTGCTGAACTCAAGCATTGCTGAAAACTACCTGAACGCTGGTTGGGAGTGGATTGGGACATGGCTGTAGAAAGGGAGGAGAATGAGCTTAGTGAGGCGGTTAGAGGGCTGTTTGCAACAGTGAGAGGGGAACTGGCAGCAGTGAAGGAGGAGTTGGCAACGGTGAAAGGGGAGGTGGCAGCAGCAGTGGCGGACAAGGCGACACAGCAGAGTGCACGAGGGTTGTTGTTGGAGAGCAGGTGCGTTGTGGAGAATGAGGCACTGGCTTTTGGCATTCATTCATGTGATTCTACGCCACCAGTCTTATGATCGTTTTGTCTCCATCCCTCTCCTCATTAGCTCCTGTGCGCGACTTTCATCCCCCCTTTCTCACATCCCCCCCTGCGGCTCGCCTAAACAAAGCTTCTATGGCTGACGGCTCCTGTGCGCGTCTTTCATCCCCCCTTTTGAGACGTCTCAAAACCGTGCGCGACTTTCATCCCCCCTTTCTCACATCCCCCCCTGCGGCCACTTGTACCCTTCCCGACCTGCCTTGAAGGATGAGCATTAGCTTGTTCTTTCGTGTGTGTTATTCTCACGCCAGTTTCATCTCGACCCGTCTGTCCCCCATGCCTATGTGGTCCATTCCATTTGTCTCGTCCTGTACACTCAGTAAAGAAGATGTCTTTCCTGCCACAACCCCCTCCCTCCTCTATTCCTGCTCCTCTATTCATCCTCTCCTCCTGCCACACCTCACTGTGCAGGCGCACTCCGTGCATTGGGCTCGCCCCATCAGCCATGGCTCGGATGACTGCAGTGGCCATGCTGCTGCCAGGGCTGCTCGTCGCCCTCCTTCTTGCCGCTGCCATCAGCATCACACCAACTGGCAGGCAGGGACGCTTCATGTCGTATGCCCGCATGTTTCCTAAACCTCACATGTCCGCATTGTTGCAATGCTCTGATGGGGTATGCCTTCACATTATTGAATGTTATCATCAGCAGCTGCCCTCACAGCTTTCCTACTGCCTAAATCTGAGGGCTATTTGCTCAGTTCCACTACTATACTCTTGACTTCCTCATCCTCTTAATGCTCCACTCGCACCTTCTCTCCGCAAAAACTCCGATCTTTTCATTCCATGTGTGCCGCGTTGTGTTCTTATGTGCCGCCATGAATTGTCGCGTGCCCGTGTTCCCATGTGCTGCCATGTGTAGGAAGCACGCCAATTCCCAAATGGAAAGAGTAAGTGGAGCTTCTGGGTCTGTCATGGCTAGTATGGCCGGAACACATGAGTTGAAAGAGGCGATGGATTTGAGAATGAGGGCGCTTGGCGTGCAGCTGGAAGAGACAAGGAAGGAGTTGGAGGAGGCTGAGAGGAGACGAGTGTCGGAGATGGGTGAGGTGAGAGGGCAGGTGGAGGAGAGGGGGGAGGATTTGGCAGCAGTAAAGGGAGAGTTGGCTGCAGTGCAGGGGGAGCTGACAGCTATGAAGAGGGAGCTGGCTGAACACAAGGATGCTATGGCAGAGCAAGTGGAGGCTAGAAAGGAGTCAAGTGAGATTAGGGAAGAATTGGCAGCTTTAAAAAGAGACTTGAGGAGGCAGAGGGACTTGGCGAAAAGTCAGATTGAGGAGGTTGACAAAAGACACGGAGAGGAATTGATAGAGCTGAGAGGACAGGTGGAGGAGAGGAAGAGGGAGTTGGAGAAGGCTGAGAGGAGACGAGTGGAGATGGCAGCAGAGCTGGCAGCAGTGAAGGGGGCGTTGGCTGGGCACAAGGATTCTGTGATAGAGCAACTCCGTATGACTGAGAGAAGAAGGGAGTCAGGTTTGAAAGAGCTTATTGAGGAGGTTAGAAAGAAAGAGGATGAGATGAGAGCGGAGTTGGCAATCGAGAGGGAGGAGAGGAGGAGGGAGGTGCAGGAGTCGAATTGGCCACGTGCCATGGAGGAATTGGCAGCGTGCAGGAATTGGGTGAATATTGAGAAGGAAATCAGCCAGAGTCAATGCCATCAGAAGACTGCATGGGAGGTGAGTGCAGAGCGAACCATTTCACAAGGCACGCATGGTTTGCTATTGTCCCCGATGCTCACCCCTTTTCTTGATATTCATTCCCTTCATCCATCACCTCCAGCGAATCAAATCAGCATCACTAGGAACCCATCTGAGTCTGGCGAGTCTCGGCGGCCTTTCAGACGCCATCCTCGCCAATGTGTCCACCATGACGCACCTGAAGAGCATAGACTTGCGGTCTACCTCAGGCTTCAGTGCAGAGGGCATCAAGCACCTCTATAGGCTGCCACATCTGGAGACGCTAGACCTGCAATTTACAGATGTCTCGGACAGTGCCTTGGAAGGGATTGGATCCTTGTCCAATCTCGTGGAGCTCCATCTCTGGAAGACCAAGGTGACAAATGCCGGCATGGTGCATGTGGGGAGGCTCACAGGGCTTGAGAAACTTCTTCTGGGTGGGACGGCAGTCACAGATGATGGGTTGCAGCAGCTGAGTGCGCTGACCAAACTTACATTTCTCTTTCCGCCAGAAGGGGGTTACCTTATGTACGATGATGCTCGCAGGCGGAAAGGCGGGTAGGGTGGCCGGGAGTGATGATGGAAAGAGAGGTGAGGTGAGGGAAGAGTTGAGTGTGACTGCAGGGAAGCTGGGGACAAGGAAGAGCAAGAGAGCAGTGAAGGAAGCTGTGGTGGCAGCAGTGGCTGCAGAAGCAATGGCAGCAGCAGTGGTGGCAGCAGTGGCAGCAGCACTGGCAGCAGTGGCAGCCAGCAGTGGCAGCAGCAGCAGTAGTGGGCAATGATTGAGATCAGTGGCGAGTGGTGTCTCGCATGGCTGCATGAGGGGAGCTGCATAAGAATTGTTGGCTGTTTTGGGTGCAGCGTGTACAAATATGTTTACAGAGGAGAGGGTATAGTGACGGAGAGAGATGGTGGGAGAAGGGGGATCAAGTGATACTGAGAAAGTCGTAGATAATCAATGTGGATTGAGTGGAGGTGTGTGCATGCTTGCGGCTGGGCATTGGGCAAGGCTTTGCTGGTGCACAGCTTTATGATACCGTCATCGCCCGGATAGTAGACAGTGTTGAATAGTAGACAAGGGTTGTCTATTATCCAAGTGTCTCTTATAAACAGGCTAGCCTCATTATTAGACACCTATTTGTGTGTACGAGATAAGACATATGTGTCGTATAATCGAAACAGCAATATATTATAGTGAAGCTTGAAATACCGTGTACATTTTTACCCTTGCGATGTGCGAATTCTTCCACATGCTGACTCACGTGCTACCGTATCGCCCCGGATATAAACGCAGGCCTATTGAAAGCGCACGCGCTTATATCTGGAGCAATGCGCTTATGGCCGATCCTCAATTATAAGCGCACCCCGTGTAAAACCCTGTTTTATTTTAAGTGCATGCATGATTTTTTATTTAAAACCTGCTAAACACTAGGGCCTGTTTTATCAGTGTAAATCACACAGCTATACTGATTAGAAGGGTGTTTTTTTGGGCTTGCACTAATGTGTTGAGGGTATTTTTTTTTGGGATTAGTGTTACACTGATTTGAGAGTGAAACGATTTAGGCCACACTAATGCTCAGGGGTAAATTTTCCCTTAGCGAAGATTACCCTTAAGGGCGTACAGGGCACCCCAACTTCTGTTCAATGCATTCATTTCTCGTTCTATTTGCGGATCACCCGGGACAGAGCACAGCGCACCATTACCTTGACTCAGTTACACATGGTGCAGCAGGTCCTTCAGCGCTTCGGCTTCACATACTCCTCGCCACAGTCCACTACTCTGCCTACCAGTCACTCGCTCTCAGCTCCACCTTCGGACGAGTCCGTAGAGCCGAGTGGCCCGTATCCAGAGCTTGTGGGCTGCCTCATGTGTCAGTAGAGCTGCACTGTGAGATCCCCGATCGATCCTAGGGGGGGTTACAGGCGCGTTTGCCTGGGGGGTTATGGGCGCACTGACCCGCTACTGAAACAAGCCCTTTTATCCCAATGGTCTAGTGGTTGGGATTCTGACATGGTATCAGAGCGGTCTCGGGTTCGAATCCCGGTGTATGCACATGCAGGCCGTTGCCGCTGTGCTCAGTCCTGGGCCTCCCAGTGTGGGGGGTTGTCAGTAGAGCTGCACTGTGAGATCCCCGATCGATCCTAGGGGGGGTTACAGGCGCGTTTGCCTGGGGGGTTATGGGCGCACTGACCCGCTACTGAAACAAGCCCTTTTATCCCAATGGTCTAGTGGTTGGGATTCTGACATCATGTACCTGATGACTTGCACACGACCTAACCTTGCATACCCTCTCAGCCTTCTGGCTCGCTACGTGGCTCCCGGTCGACACCGAAAGGTGCACTAGGATGCTGCGAAGAGGGTGTTTCGCTACCTGTGCAGTACATCGGGCATGGGGCTCGTGCTTGGAGGACGGGCTCGAGTTGTCCTCACTGGTCACGCAGACGCTTCCTGGGTTGACGACTTGGCTACGCAGTAGTCGTCACAGGGTTACACCTTCAGTCTTGGTTCCGGTTCTGTCTCTTGGCGGTCTACCCGCTCTTCTTCTGTTCTCAGCTCCAGTTGTGAGGCTGAGATCTACGCTGGGGCCATGGCTGCACAGGAGTTATGCTGGCTCACCTACCTGCTGACCGACTTGGGAGAGGCGCCTCGTTCTCCTCCAGTTCTGTACGTCGACAACAAGGCCATGCTGGCCTTGTGTCAGGAGCACAGACTGGAGCACAGAACGAAGCACATTGCTCTGCGCTACTTCCTTGCTCGAGAGTTGCAGCAGCGTGGCCAGCTTCGTCTCGCTTACGTGGCCTCACAGGCCAACACTGCTGATGTTTTCACCAAGGCACTTCAGCCTTGTGATCATCAGCGTTTCTGTACTGTTCTAGGCGTTGTACCTACTGTGCCTCACTTGCTTATTCTTGACTCTGCTTATACTATACTCTATATACATATACCTGCATGCTTACACTTGCTAGGTTGTGTTCACTGTATTGTTTGTTTTCCGTTATATAATTCTGCATGTGAACTGGCCTTGTGGCCATTTGCTTGTGCTCAGACTGCGTGGTGACTTTGTGATCCACCCTGAGCTTGCTTTGCCTTTCTTGACTGGTCTTGTGACCTCTTGTTCTCCCCCACTTTGCCTATGGGGGTGTGTCAAACTTATATGCTATAGTCTGTTTAGGCTGTAGTTGGGTAGTTCTTATAGGGTACAACAATTTTAGGTTTCCTACTTGTGCCCACCTGCTTCCTAGTTCAATCATTCATTCGTTCCATATTCTAACACGCGGATCCTGTCGATCAACACCTCAGTGACCTCACCCTTACACATTGGTCGCCGTCGTCGTTGTTATCGTGATCCGTGGTGAACGGGTTGTTTTGTGCGAACAACTCGATCGGATATGGTGCTGGTTCAGGCAATGGTGTGCGTATGCGGGCACGACGGGTGCGCAGTGAATGGCACGTCGCCATGTTGCTGATGACATTGTGCGACGTTCCAGGGTGTGTTGGCTACTATTGTTGGTGCTGAACCGTTGGGTTCGAGTTGCGCGATTCGGGCTAGAATCCTTGGGCTGGACGCGAATCTTGACTTGCGTGTTGTTGGCCGGTCCAAGTGCTCGGATTGGACAGGGGAGGGCAAGAGCGAAATATACATTGCGCCGTGGTCGTCGCTCTTCCTTGTTGTCGGGGTAGAAGGCAGGAATTTCTTGTTCTCGTCATGGTGCGGGGCGCTGCTGACCCATATCCTGTTGTTCGACGAGAAGGGCGGCGCAAAGGGCGGCTTCCAAAATAGCCCCTTGTTGCCGGAGGAGCGCCTTGCAGGGTCGCCATTCGGGGCCGAGTCCTGCGAGCACGATCATAATGAATAATTCCTCTGAAATCGAGCTCTCGTGCTTCACGATTTGATCGTGGATGCTCCGGCAACGATTAGTGTAGTTGTTTGCCTTCTCCCATAGTCCCACTTTTATCTCCATCAGTTGCTGGAGTAGTCGGCTCGAAGTCACTGAATCCTTGGGCTGATACACCTTTGTGAGGTGTCACCAGGCTTCAAGTGCCAGAGCGGGTGTTGTTTTGTAGGAGCTAATTCCCAGCTGCTCCACCGGCGACATGTTACGAAGGAGGACGACGTACGCCATGAGCGAATCGTTATAATATTGCGCTATGGCGTTGTAAGTGTCATCCGAAGGGCCCCGCGTAACTGTCGTCAAAATAGTGAAAAATCTATGCGTTTTGCAGTAGCAGCTCCAGCTCGAAGCTTCAGGTATAGAAAAATTTCTGTCGTTTTGAGCAGGTACTTGTCATTATTTTTTATACGTTCAGGAACCTTGATTGAGCTGAGAGAATTGGTTCATCTTTGTGGCGTGGGACCCTAGGTGTTGATCCATTTGTTTCGAGGGAGAAGGTGTGTGGGGCGGTATCACGGCCAATTGTGGCCAGTTGAGAGGGTTGGGAGGAGGTTCCTGCGTCGCCATTCCACAATGTCTGGAGCCCTTGCTGAGCCCTTGCTCCAGAGTTGAGAGTTGCTGAAGTAGTTGTTCGAGCACGACAGAGCTGATCGTCGTCGTCGCCTCGGATGTCGCAGTCGGGTTGGTTGGAGCTTCACCCGTAGGATTTCCTTGACCTCCTAATCCCCCAACCATTCTCACGCGTGAGCGTGTGCCGGACGCCACTTTAGTTCGCCGAGATTTTCGGGGATGGCAGTGTTAATAAAGAGGGAATGAATGAACTAGGAAAGTGTGTGATACAAATATGAAACCTGTACCCCTTAGTGTCTACCCCACTACAGCCTACATAGGCTAGGTCATATATGTCTGACACACCCCCATAGGCAAAGTGGGGGAGAACTAGGGGTCATAAGACCAGTCAAGCAAAGCAAAGCAAAGCAAGCACAGGGTGGATCACAACGTCACCACACATTCCGAGCACAGGTTCAAAGGCCACCAGGCCAGTTCACATGCATGGTTATATATAAAAGGTAAACAAGCAGGTGCAGGTATATATAGATCACAGT